GAACCATGGGTCCATCAGGACATCTGAAAAATTCCGTGATTGACATTTCAGTAATTTCAGGGAAGGCGTTTTCCAGGGATGGGCTCTCCCAGGCTCAGATAGTGCCTTTGGCTGCAAATGCCCCGTTAGCTAAACATTTCCTCAGGAAAATTTCCTTATTCTAGACATTATGTGATGTATCTGTTTGGAATTCAGGCTGCTTAGCCTTCTTCCCGGGGACTTGGGAGAAGCTGCCGGAGGTTGTACTGTGAAGTCGTTCAGCTCCTAGAAGGCTCCTGCGTGAGAGAGCCCGGTGTTACTGACGTCCCTTGCCTTCCTCAAGGTGACCTGTGTCCTTTTGCTCTGGGCAGGGCCCGGGTGGATGGGCCAGCGTCTGGGCCTGTAAACTGTACTTGACTTCCGCGTTGATTTACATACTTTTTACTGTGATCTTGGTTCCTCACACAGAATTCTCACCCCATCCCCTTGAATGTGCTGGATCCTTGTAAATTCTAATTTAATGACTTGTTCTTAGTGTGTATGTGTGTCAAACTCTGTGTTCAAGAAAGAAATCATAAAAAGAGTAAGAACATTTTTGTGCCATTGAAGAAATGGTGTTCTGATTTCTAATAAATATTTATTTTGCTTGTTACAGCCACACTTTATCCTTGCCTTAGGTGTACCAATGTGCAGACTGACTAGGACCCCTAGAGGGTTGCTAACAAGGGTGGGTAAAGGGAAGGCCAGTTTTGGGCCTGAAGCATTATCATTGGCTCTGGCTCAGGAGCAGAGCCAGCAAGCCAGAAGACATGTCACCTTTGTACATGTTTGCATCTCAGAGTGCGTTCACATCAGGGAGCCAAGCCAGAAGACATGTCACCTTTGTACGTTGTTTCCATCTCAGAGTGTGTTCGCATCAGGGAGCCCATCTGAACCACTCAGCAGCTCTGGAAGCAGTTTGAGTAAAAGGAGACTCAGGGTTGAAGTATGTGTTCACAGATTCACAGCCACAAGCTGTCAGTGGTTCAGGCCACGAAACGCCTCAGAGAGTGCCCTATCAGCTCCTGCACAGCAAAAGAAACTACCGTCAGAGTGAATGGGCAACCTACAGAATGGGAGAAAATTTTTGCAATCTACCCATCTGACAAATGTCTCATATCCAGAATATACAAGTAACATAAACATGTTTACAAGAAGAAAACAACCCCGTCAAAAAGTGGGCAAAGGTTATGAACAGACACTTCTCAAAAGAAGATATTTTTATGTGGCCAACAAACATATGAGAAAAAGCTCAACATCATCTAATTTGCATTAGAGAAATGCAGATCAAAACTATAATGAGATACCGTCTCACACCAGTCAGAATGGCGATGATTAAAAAGTCATGGAACAATAGATGCTGGAGAGGCTGTGGAAAAATAGGTACACTTTTACACGGTTGGTGGGAATGTAAATTAGTTCAACCATTGTGGAAGACAGTGTGGTGATTCCTTAAGGATCTAGAACCAGAAATACCATTTGACCCAGCAATCCCATTACTGAGTATACACCCAAAGGAATATAAATCATTCTACTATAAAGACATATGCATACATATATTTATTGCAGGACTATTTACAATAGCAAAGACATGGAACCAACCCAAATGCCCATCAATGATATGCTGGATAAAGAAAATGTGGTACATATACACCATGGAATATTATGCAGCCATATAAAGGAATGAGGTCATGTCCTTTGTGGTGATATGGATGAAGCTGGAAACCATCATCCTCAGCAAACTAACACAGGAACAGAAAACCACACCCCACATGTTCTCAATTGTAAGTGAGAGTTGAACATGGAGAACATATGGACAAATAGGGGAACAACACACACCAGGGCCTGTTGGGGGTTGGGAGGTTGGGGGACGGAACTTAGGGGACAGGCCAAAAGGTGCAGGAAGCTGCCATGGCACATGTATACCTATGCAACAAATGTGCCTGTTCCACACAAGTATCCCATTTTTTTTTAGAAGAAATAAATAAAAAGGTAAGAGTGCTTGATCTATCATGCCTGTTGTCTGTCAACTTATTTCAGGTGAACATAAACCCATGGTTCTACCTGGAGAACCGAAGGTGTAAATCTCACAGGATTTTCATGAGGAGGCAGTGAGATAATGGATAGGAAAGAGCTGACATTGTGACTGTCATTACTGCCTATCAGCCTAATTCGGAGGTATATGCAGCTCTTCATTCCTCTGAGTTATTTCGTAAGGATGGCAGTTCTCAAGTTGAGTGCCAAGTCTTCAGTGCTTGTCTTGGCAGGCTGTGGAGCTTGCAACCACTTTATTAATAAGTGAAATACTGTATTTGGTGAATTCGTTACTTAATTCAGATGATTCCCAGA